CACACACACACACGTGCTTAAATATACAAATAGACACAAAAAACAGAAATACAGCCAACCAGAAGAAAAATGTGTGTGGGGACACAAATACAATCTCAGCTTCACCCATCTATCGTCACATCTGCCATTGCCTTCCTGCAGAAAGAGAGGATCAGCGATAATTCTAAATAAGCTGTCAAACAGAGCGATCACATCGCTGCTCGTTACCTACATGACACCAAAAGACCAAGACTACCTTTAACCACTGTGCAGAAAGCACACATGGTGGGCAAGGATGGTAGTTTAATTTGACTGTGGTTAAGCCAGTTAACCAGTATAGGAAGAGGCTTGTCAGGTTTTTATCAGAGCCCAAAAGGCTACTAAAATGTAAAAGATACCCTACTTTTTGTGTCTTGCCCAATTCCTTTCTCAACCAACCCCCACTCTGTATAACATTCTGTGCATTTAAATTGTACATTAACATGATTTTAATGCATCTCTCGACTAACATAATTATTGGGGGATTAAAAAGTAAATCTACACTACCTCACTCAGACAACTGCTGCTGCACAGCTTATGGTGAAACAGTAAGGAATGTTTTACTTGTGGCTATATCCCAATCAATGTCGTCACAGCAGGCATTTTTGTCTCAGTTGCCTCAGGTAAAAATCAAAATCAAGGTCAAAGCTTTGTTTGATATGGGGAGTGGAAGATCATTAACACACATGGCAGTAATTCAGATGGATTTGAACTTGAGCGGGTGTCTGTTTAAACAGGTCAGCTGAGAGCCAATACTTATTTGCGATGGCAATGTCATTCCACATAATCATGGCATGTACAGTCAATGTCTCCCTCAAAACTGACGGGATCTGCTGTAAATTGCAGGACAATACCGGTCTACTGGTCAATCATCATTGTTCTCCAGCTATTCTAGGGGCAGAAATGGAAGTGGAATGGGACAGACAGGGTTTATGCATACAGCTCTTAAAGTATCTGAGTGGAGGTTACCTAAAGTGCAGTGGGGCTCTGCTGCTGGCTACGTTTGAGGGCCTTAACCAAGGACTCAAAGGATGAGAGGAGAATTTTAGTCAGTGCATGTGTGTGTGTGCATGCATGTGGAAGTATTTTTCTGTGTATGTGTGTGTGGTAGTGTATGGTAGTGTGTGTACTAGGGGCAGGATCAGTGGAGTAAATCCACACTTGAAAGAGTAGCTCAATCAGGCTCTCCCACCCATCTCTTTCCCTCCTCCCTGTCTTTCTCATCTCACTGATGTTCCTCTGCTCCCAGTTCGTGGAGAGTTGAAGAGTTCAGATCTAGGAAGCAAAAGAGCACTACAGAGGGCAAAGGGGAACAAGTGTGAACCTTTAACACTTCCCACCAGTACCTTCTTCAAACTGTCAATCAACCTCTGAGTAAAGAGCAACCATTAACAGGTCAAAATTTGCTCAGCTAACATGTCAACCACTTAAATGTTGATGGATTCAGACACAGACAAAACACAGTACTGTATCTGCAACCTTACATTACATCTAAAACAAAGCTTTCTGAAAAATGTAAAAAGTGAACATTGTTATTGCAAAATGCAGCTAGATAGTTTAGTGACTTTGAACACATCTCTCTCAACATAAATAAACAAAATAGCCTGACTGTTACATCAATGGGAGTTAAGCTTAGCTGGTTAAGTATAGGTTTTTCCATGCCAGACCTCCTCGCTCCTAATCCCAAGTGTTAGTTATAATATTTAAAAGCAAAAAATCATTATAAAGCATTTAACTTCAATTTACCAGCAGGTTTGCAGACAAAACAGCAAGTTGCTTATCACTAGGGATAGGGATCGAGACCCGGCTCTAAAAGGACCCGGTTCCAACATTTCTCAAAAGCCGAAAATCATAAGTTCTGAGCTTATCGATACTGCTATCGAGACTAGCGGGTCTCGAGAGTCAAATCTGATTTATCTTGAAACGCGATGGATAAGAAAACTAATGTTTCTGATGATAGCACCGAAACGCGGTATTAAATGGGCCCAGGACTAATGATCATCAGGCTGCTACCTCTGCTGCTCTCTGTCATCTCCTACATCGTGTATGTTTCATACCAGCCAGCCGCTCCTCCTTCTACCAGGTAACGTCACCTGCAGGCAGTGAATAACAGTAGAAAGGAGGAAGATGCGGAAGGTCAGATACAGACTGAGTTTTTTAATTCTTTCTCAATAGTGGAGTCAATAGTCCCTCAATATGTCAGATATTATGAGTTTATATATAGTGACTTTGCTTTTGTAAACATTAATGTTGCTGTATTTAAAAAAATTAGCTATTTAAAATATTTAAAACAACAAAAACCAGGCAGCTAATATGGACACTTGAATATATGCTAATTTATCACAAGTCATTTGTCATCTCAATATCTGACAACGTTATCGCACATTGAATATTTTTCCTCACACCGTGCAGGCATACCTCATACCCTTTGGGGATGGTCTTACCAAATAATAGTAAAGTATCAATAGTCGTATCGCTAAACATTCAGATCATTAAGCAGTCTCAATAAGGGTATCGATAAATAAAAATTAACGATCCCCATCCCTACTTATCACTATTCTCCTCTTTGTTTCACTTCTGCAGCTGCGTCCTCTTCAAGTAAAGTCTGTTCCTCGAAAGGGAATAAAAACCATGACTTCATTTTGTTTCCTGTGCAATTTAATAAAGGCGATTTTACACTGCCAAATGCGGAAAAGATGCCCTTCATTAGAATAACGTGTACCCAGTGTGACCATACTTTAATCCAATCTAGTTTAGCATGATAAAAAGGCATTACTGCCAGCCAGCGCGACTGCCAACCCACTCGTGTGTACATGCATGCAATGACATGAAGAAAATATAGTGCCAAAGGGGTTCATGGGTAGATAATGCATCAACCAACATTTAGGGAGAGGACTACTAGACACAAATTCTGAAACTACGTCACTTCTATTGACATTTAAACTAGTCATACCCTAGGCAAGTGACAGGCCATTTAGGTCATGTGCATTAAGAGTCTGGCTCCTAATGTAAGCTTTGTTACTCTTATCAATACAAATTAGGTAATCAGGTATTGATTCAAGAACCAAAATATTTTCAAATGCAAATATTCATTGAAAATATACTTTGGAGTAAAAAATAAATAATACACACACACACACACACACACACACACACACCAGACAAATAGTCTTGTATTATAAATAAGTCTGAACATTTTATGCGTTTAGAATCAAAGCATTTCAAAGGTGAACTTGACAAGCTCAGGAGAACCCACAACAACACTGCTGTATGTCTATCTAATGGAAGGATCTTTTCATTATGTTTATATGAACAAAGATGCCCTGCTTGAAGAAAAATGGCCTTTGGTGGACAGCAGCTGCTCATTAATAAGCTCTATAAACTCTTATTTGAATTAAGGGTAGAGTGAAACTTTTTTATGAGAAAAATTTCATTAGTGTCTCAAAAGAGCTCAAAGCTGCTTCCTTCTGTTGGAGAAATAAAAGAGGAGAGCTTCTCCTTAACCCAATAAATGGTTCTGAATCACCACCAGACCATCTTAAATGTATTTTTCAGGCTGCAAAATGCACAGAGATTCCTAGTGAGGAAGCTTTTTGTGGGTTTTTTTGTGGAGCAGAGAGCTGTCATTGACTTAAAAAGGATGCCAAACGGGTTTTGTTGTGTATGTGTCTACGTGTGTGTTAAAGTGACTCATTCTGAATCACTATTTAGAAGGCTGCCGCTTCCAGAGATGGTTTCATCCTCAAGATTCTGTGCGCACGCACATATTTGTGTGCTTGTGTGCATGTAAAAGTGTGTCAATATCCTGTGTGTGTACATACAGGCTGTGGAGATCTGAACCAACACAACACAAGTGCCTAAAGAAGTGACAGGCAGGCTGAACGGAGACAAGCAATCCTTAAACAAGAGGACATGAATCGAAGTGCTTTCCACTCTGTCAGGCTGGGCTACGGCCTCTCTGAGACAGACAGGGAGGAACGATCATACGGGACAGGAGACCATTGGCATGTTAGCACCTCGTGTCAGATCTTAGATAACCTGAACAAAATGTTGCAATTCATGGCACAAATAAAGTTAACCTTCATTTTCATGTGACCTTTTTCCATGTTTTCAGATTAAACTCTTTGTGTGCATATAATTATAATAATTCATTCCACAATTTGGCTGTTCAGTTTTCCTGCCCTCATCTACTTTTGTGTATTTGTTTATAATAAAGGGGTCACTTGCCCAGTGGTTGCAAAAAGCATCATAAATCAGCTACTGATAAATAAGGTGATACATTTTAATGCGGCTATATCTAGGGCAAACATAGTCCTTGATGCATTTGTTTCTCCCAAAGTGAAAGAAACACACACGCATAACAAACATAATTCTGCATTTAAGGGATAAAGAGCATAAAGGAAAGAAGCTTAACAACACTGTGATTCAAGTAACACTGCGTGCCTGGCATTAGCTTGCCTCATTTCCGCAGACCACCAAGCCCTGTGCACTCCCACCTGATGGAAAACCTGGGCCTTCAGCTGGCATGTCCACCTGGTCACCACAGTTAACAGGGAAAATACACATCGTATGCCAAATAAACTACCAGCAGCCATCACCAGTGGCACTGCCTATGAGGAAGTTGGGGCAGAGGGGAGGCAGAGATGAAATATGGCAGTCACAGGAGGTGTGTGCAGCTAGCTATGTTTTTCCACTCCACTGGGGGTACGGCCAACCTGTTCCTTTAGTCTATATATGGAAGTAAACAGGATGCTAACAGTGGGATAGAGCTGGTGTACCATATGTAGCCTCATTATGCTGTTGTTTGGACTAAGACAGCTGAAAATGGAAATCAGAGCTCAGTAATGTCCTTTGTGTTATCTTCCTTGGAAACCCAAATGGCATTACTTGTAAAGACCATTAAATGACTTATAAGGCCATAGGCAGCTACCATTGTGTGTGTGATGTGTGCAAATGAGCTTGTGTGTGGGGCATGTACTCACAGCAGGTACGAGGAGCTTCTTGACCTCCTCCACTGCTCTCCTCATCTTCATCTCAGCCCTGGCCTGCGAGTCTTCCACTGTGATCAGGACATGAAGGTCTTCGTTTAGGTGTTCCCAGTTCGGCTTCCCTCTGTTCTGCTCCTCCTGGACAGAGAAAGAGCGAGAGAGGGAGACGGTGAGTGAATGTGACAGTGTGGGTGAGCTGGAGCACCAGTACAGTAACACAGCATATCAGAGGAAGCGGAGGCGAGAGGCAGGCATACACAGAGGACAACAGGGCCCTGTGATGAGAAGTGGGATGACAGGAGCGGCCCTTTAGTCAGCTCTTTAGCTTTAACTTTGAAAGGACACCCTTCTTTAATAGATCCCTCGCTTTACAGAGACAAAGACGACAGCTAGCCTGCAGCAATTAATATCAGTGAAGGATGATTGGGTGGAGGGATCAGAGTAAGATGGATGGGGATTTTTTAAGCCACACGAACGTATTCGTAGGAATGCGATTATGATATATGGATATGGTGTAAAGTGCCACAGGATTGTGTGTGAAACGCGTGCCTCTGTTTTCGACTTGTGTTTGCGTGGACAGTGCTGTCTGGTTAACAATAGCTCTCTCAGGGAGTCGTTTTCCCTCCTGAAAAGGCAGCGCCAAAGCACTCAGAGGGCGCCAAATTGTAGCACTAGCAATACCTGAAAGGCAAAATGGGCTGTATTCAAAACCAACACCACTGCTCAATAGCCTTTCAACGTGGTTAAATAGGAAGCGTTTCATGATTTGAATTGGGGACACTGAGGTTGAGAAATGGTGCGAGACATTTTAAGGTTTTCGGGTGCCTCTGTGAAAAGCCCCATCACACCTTACTCTTATCTGAAAAGGCAAAATGGGATATGTAGAAACAAATATGGAGTAGCCTCACATTTTTTTAAAACACGCTTCCCCATTTTGCAGAGCTACTTTCCCCCCCCTATTCTGGTTGCCCCGCTGACAGTAAAAGCAGCGAGCAGACAGAGCGCTCTAAAAAGCTTTTGAGGTTGTATCGCATGTCACTGTACAACCATGAAAGCCAGTGGTTTGAAAGCCGACTACTTCCCCCTGAGGTGAGGAGATGAGGTCTAGGTTGTTTGAAAAAGACACAACCTCAGATTCTCTGATGTGTGACACCACATTAAAACATCAAAACAGGATTTATAATGTTACAGTGTTCATATCTGACAAAACAGGAATGTCAAAAGGAACGGAACTCAAAAATATTTCAAAATCAGAAGTGCGGTTTTCTTTTCCAAAAGGAGGTCAGTCTCTCAAGCAATGAACTGCATCCCAGCTTTCTCCCCTCCTGCTGTTGGTGCAGGTTTGCACAGACTGTTGATGAACACTGATATTTAACCCCACCCATACAAACCACCTCAAGTTCAGACTCACTGCTCATTTGTGAGTAGTGAGCCTCTGTGAGGGTGTGTAATTACAAACAATGCATTGCGGCGCTCTGCAGGGGGGTCCACCTGACATGATTTCAGTACGCTCAAGGAGCACCACAAAGTGAGAGGGTGCACGCACACACAAAGCTTAGAACTTGAGCGGAGTGCCACCCACCTGCTTTCTACTCCACAGAGACCTGTTGCCATGGCACTGCTCTTTGTAACACACACACACACGCACAAGTTCAATATTCCTCTCTCGTTTTTCCCCTTTTCCACACAGGGCCTAGTTTCAGTCAGGCCATTATTTCACCATAGCTGTTTGCTTATGGCCTATTAAGGGACATGGGGACTAGAAGGTGACTCAGCATTTTCTAGAGGGGACACAGACAGACAGGCCATAAACGGCTGCCTCTGTATGCACTGCAGTGGATGAAAGCACATGCTAGATATATAAATGCATGTGTGCTCTGGTAGATTCTGATTTGGTTAGGATCACTGATGATTGAAGAAATCTGGGGAAAAGCGAAATGAGTGCACACACACCCACACCTCACACTAGCATGACTGCCTGGGAACAAGGTCACTGTGTGCCCTCTGAGAGAAAGTGACAGCATGACAAACATGAGGAAGAGTGGAGGGGGAGGCAGGGTGAGAAAATAGAGGGGAGGTGAGGAGAGCGCTAAAGGAAATACCAGGAAGGCCTTTGAAGAGAATGTCCACGCTGGCCGACATCAAATGCCATGGCAATAACCACATACCAGCGGGTAATCTGGTTTGCCAAAATATGTAGCATGAATAAATGGCACAGATACTGCATCTAGAAACAAGATCTAAGAATAGGATCAGAGGGAAACTTCCATCATCTGTACAGCACCTGTTTGCCTGCTGGCTTTCACACTCCTCAGCTCGAGCCCAATAAACTTTAAGGCCTCAATTCTCAACATAGACGACACCATGTTTTCCTCAAACCCCACCTTTTTTAGTTTGTACTTCTTTATAGATCCTGTTGGTACCATCATTTCGCCTGCACCCTACAACTACAGGGTCAGGTGCACCCCTGAAGCTGGAAGCAATTTATTGCATTGCTCAAGGGCACGTATTTTATACACACACACATATACACACACACATACACACACACACAGCTTTCAATCCATGTGTTGTGGCTGAAGGTCAGTCCTACTTAATATAACACCACTGCTGCCTCAATAGGATTTCTGACTATGTGGTGCCACAATTTTAACGCTCAAATTAAATTATTTGCACTGTTTCAACTCTGCCTCTCCCACTCTGAACAGTCCCTTCTCCTTTGATCCTATGGGACATCCCCAACTGGGGTCAATGCAACTGAGGCTAAATGCCAGCAGGCCAAACAGGTGCAGTAGGGAGTTGCAGGGGCATGGAAGGACAAAAGAGGGCAAGCAGGGCTGTAGAGCAATGATGAAGAAATATTAAATAAAACAAACCACAACTTTCTAAAATTCTTCAGGAGTACTTTTGAAGTTAAACCGATAATACCAAAAGATTTACATTGATAATGGAAATAAAGCATGACTTTTTAATGCTTCTTGATTTTGGTCTTGTCCAATGATTGCTTTGGGTAAGATTGACTTTTTATTAAATATAACTAAATGAAATTTCGCAATCAAAAGGACAAAGAGGACAGATTGAGTACAACAGAGGGCAATCCTGAACAGGTCACCTAAATGTGAGGATTGAAAAAGGAACCCTACGACAGCACACCTCAAAAGAAGAAATAGATTAAATATTGCAGCGGCAGCTATTCCTTATGCTATTAATTGCCATCAAACCATCGTCTTCTCTCAAAGTCATTTCCAGCCCAATAATCCCTAAAGCACCAAAGGTAACACCTGGACATTGCTCTGCTTTTCTCATCAACATAATGACTCCCTGTAAACACTTAATAAAAAAGAAACAAGCTGCACTGGGTCACGTAATCAGAAACCCGGAGATGAGGGGGAAAAGAAATCGGCGTAAACTTTAAACAAAACAATTGGACTTGCTGCAGTGCCAACAGGCCAATCAAGTTTAACATATTGATTTCCAATGTCACACATGTGTTTGGACAATCAGCAAAAAACAACCCCAAAAAATCAAAAGGAAATTCATTTCATATGAAGCATCTCTCAAAGTCCCAGTCTGAACACTTGGTGCGGCTGAAACTAAAACTGCTGTTTGTTGCTAACTGTAATCTCACATTGCGTGGTAGCCAAAACAGAATTAGAGAAATCCCATTCCTACTTGGTGCAATGATCGATATAACGTACCAGTAATTTAATTGCTGTTGTTCTGCTGTTGTTTTGCATTAAGCATGACTCAAAGAGTGAAAACCAGGGGGACTCAAGCTGCCACATTAGATAAAAATTTGATTGGAATAAGGCTCCAGGAGGAGTACTTTTTCCATTCAACTGTTGAGACAATCACCAAAAAAGGACAGAGCATAAAAGCTTCATCACTTTAGGTAGAATAGAAAGCCTTACAAAGATTTAACAACAAACTATGAAAAAACCCCAATAGAGACTGGAAGAGGGTTGAGTGTGGAGGTGTCATAAACACATTAAAAGAAGTACTCTCTATGGAATTAGTACGATCCATCATGCCTCAAAATGTGTCAAAAAACACATGACCAAGTGCCTCTATCTACAGAGGTTACAGGAGTGCATTCTCTCAGTCACACTCACAGATACCTTATATTTGGTCATGTTTGATCCGAGTGTGAAGTGCAGTCTTGGGACAGGTTATTACCCTGCGTTCGTCTCTCCTCTCCCATTATTTGAGCTGAATGTCAAGTCCCGCCCACACACAGACACAGGTGGGTTAAGGGATTTCACCATTTTCATACTGTGCATTATGACTTATCTTATATCTGCTGGGTTCTGTCTGTCTTTTATATTCTAGATATCTACTACATTAGTTTGTTTGCATTTAACAACTATAGTTCCTATGACAGCACAACAGTGACTTGGTGTGACTCCTGACATGAGCAACTATAGTAAAAGTATATTTATAATTTTTTAACAAACAGAAAATCTAGAGTATAAGAGGCCCACTATGAAAAAATACATCATCTGTCTAATGCTAACAAAGCAAAGGCTAGTTTAAAAATGATTGGGATATCTGGACAGCATTCGGTGACAGCAGGCTTAAACAGTACTTGTGGGAAGAATTAAATGACAGCAGTCAAAATAATTTGCTCACAAAATGTTATTAAAAACAATCAAAGGAAATCTGTAATGAAAGTTAAGTGTAGGCTAGGTGTGCAGAATAAACTATTATGTAGGGAAAAAATGGGAGTGAAAAAATTGTGATCAGGATATCCCTAATGATAAGCATTATTTTGGTCTAGTTTGATAAGAGATTTAAATTACCACATTTTTCTCTTCACCTGCTTCATTCCTCCTTATTTTCTACTTGATCTGTTTTTCTTCTCTCATCATTGTTCTTCTTTTTATTCTGCTTCTGTCTCTCTCTCCCTCCCTCAATCTCTGCTTGACTCTCTCCCACTGCATAGCTCCAGTGAGCAGACTCCCCGCCAGGCAGTGCGGCCCAGGAGAGAGCAACCAGCTGAATTATTGAGAGCATAAAAACGCTGCCGCTAATGGATCCTGAATAAACACACTGGCTAAGCTGCTCCCGCGGCTTCCTCTGCTGCCACAGGGCATCAAGCTGAAAATACTGAGGTTGAGGATGCAGCGACTGGAGGCGACGGCTGAGGCTTTGTCTGGGGCTGAGACACGGTTATGACACCACCTGGGACATCCAAAGGATTTTGGAGTACAGGGAGCTAACGAGTTAGTGATTCTTGAGATTTATTGACAGAGGAGGCAGCGATGCCAGACCATTATTTTTCCCTAGCTTAGACCAACGTTACTATAAATATGTATACCAGACACCAGCGTCATCTAAGTTAAGGGACAAAAAGGTAGTGAGGAAGGAAAATGTTTTAATTTAGGACAAATAAAGAAATAAAGCCTTGTGTAGAAAGCTGACAATTTAATTGCAAAGATGTGTGCAAAACAACACAGCCATCTGTACATTTTAATTTACTTAATACTTAATAACGTAAATAACGGACAACTGGAATAGCATCCAGGACAGATTTATGAAACATCTTAAATACTGGGATATTCCCAATACCGAGACACCAAGTAAAGAAATGATCCTGCTCGTCTGTGTTTAGAAGTGTTTAACTGTACTGGGCCTTTGTTAGGGTAGTAATTACGCAGGGCCTTTGACAGGTCCTGTCCTAACAAATGTCATTAACTTCTAAGACGGTAAGAGATAATGAAGGTAATGAAAGATTCATGTAATGAGCTAAAACAAAACTTCTAAAGTCTGTGTGTGTATGAACCCCATTTCTGTTACAATGCACTGTGGACTGTGTGCGTGAGAGACCATGTGTAGAGGTGATTCCCATGTGGCAAGGGATGAAATACACTTCTTCTGACCTATCTTAATGAATTGGAATATAGCACCACTGTCTGGCAAATCCGAGTAACTGGGAGGTGCAGACAATAAGATTTAAAAAACAAATAAAAAAACAAATATGCAACTCCAAAAGGTGTCAGTCAATGAAGAAAACAAAAACAGAAAAAAATAAAAAATAATGGCTAAAAGCAGCCATTATAGCACAGCTGAAGCCCATGGGCAAACCATGCACAGATGCTTGAAATACCACAATTTTCAAAACTGTCAATTTGTCCTCACACTAACTTCAAAGTACATCACCAATCTGATCTGACACACTTTGGAGCCCCTTGGGGATGTGTGCAAGTTGCTATAGCACTCAAAGTTGGTGTTTTTACCATTTAATCGCCAGCTTTGGCTGAATTGTATGGCGTTTCAAAATTCAATGTGAAGGCAGCTGAAATATGCCATACATCAGCTTTGTAGGCGTAAAAGACATACGAGGTTGACCTGAACGCAGTGCAATACAGGACGAACAAACATGATCTGACCTTTATGAGCATTATTTCTCAACAGCGAAATAAAGTCTGGATTTTCAAATGCTGTGATGTAGCTGTTTAAGGCCAGATGCACAATTTGCAGATAAAATAACACAAACAGGTTGTTCCACAAATTCACCCCTTGCGTCTCAGAATATATAGATACACAACATTAGCCTTTTATGTCTCCAACCTCAGCTCAGTAGGTCCAGAAATAGAGGCTGCCCCCTGACCTTAGACATCTGCTTTACTACTGCCTTCTGTACTTTCCACTGCACAGCGTTTTGCACAGTCCTATCATATGTCAGAATGCAGCCAACAGGCCTCAATTGAGTGTGTGTCTGCCTTGTGTTTCTACAGGGATAGTGGGATGGGTTTGTGTGACAGCAGTCCCAGCTGCTTTCACATTATTGTGTAGTATCTCAATACAAAAAAGGTACAAAGGTGAGCTTAAGCGTGTCCTGGTTTGGTCAAATAAAGTTAGACTTTTTTCAGGTGAGTGGAATCTAATCTAATGAATAACAATTGTTATAAAGAGATAAAGGACATTAAACACACTGGGTTCGCTGCCATGCTGATGAGCTTACCTTCTTCTTGTCCCTCATGGAGCTCTTTCCTCGCACCATGATTTTGCATCCCGTCTCTGCTTCCAGCTGTTTGGCTGTGAGTCCCCGAGGACCAAGGATTCTTCCCACAAAGTTATACTGTGGAGACATAGAGAGAGAAATAAACCACTGAGTCTATGGGTGAACGTAGTGTAAAAGAATATGACATTTAAGTTACCTTTACATCCACATTTAAGTATTTAAAAACACACAACCATGGAGAAAGACTTAATAAGCAGTTAAAATCTCCAATCAATAATAAGGGCTGAAGTCAAATGGTGCTCAACAAAGGACAATAGCCAGTATTAAGTACACACTGACACAAAAAAGATAGAGGTCCCACTTTCCATGAGATGACATCACCTTTGCGAGACATCACTATGCCGCTGCCACACACACTACACAAACACCCCCAGCACCAAATCTATTACATCTGCACATTACTTTCCACCTTTCTAGAACAAAGAGTTGCCCCCCTTTGCCATAGTCTCTCCTGAAACACTGCCGAATTAACAATATTGGTGTGTTTTTTTATCCTCATAATGTTGGCAGGACTACTGGAGAAAATAAGTATTTTTATTATTATTTAAAAAAAATATTACCAAGGAAGAAGAGTGTTCAAATGTTACACAGGTGGAAAAAATATCTTTTGTCTGTCACAAATTTTCCAGCCAACCATAGGCCATAGTGGGCCGGCTTGCACCTAATTTATCACCCCCACTGGATGTCAAAATAGTTCCAAATACAAAATGAACTACATGGAATTACACTTGTTGAGAATGTTGCGTAGGAAACAAAGGGAAAATGGAGCTGAGAGGGTGTTGAAGTATGTGAGGTAGTGTACTTGACACAATTTTCTTATCATCAGGGCCCCCTTTCACTTGTCTGTGGCTTTGGAGCTTTGTACCAAAAGGAAATGTATTTAACAACGTAATCCTCTCCACTTGAAACTGGCTTCCAACTGGATAAAGGGAAAATGTGTTGAAATAATCCATCCCAATTTTCAGCCAAAATAAAAACAGAAGGTAAAGAGGAGAGCTGAGAGGTGGGGGTGGCACAGTGACGCATAAAGAGGTAAACAAAACAACCATGTTAGGTTATGACAGTGCGTACAGTGGCTGGTAGAGAGAATGATGGGTAAGAGATCCCCAACACCATTAAAATGGGATCATTTTACTAAAGCAAAATTTCCAAACCTGAAATATTCAAATGCTCACTAGCAGAGTTGAGAGCTTTCCATGACAATGAGAAGCACAACTGTTCGTCTCTTCAACTGTTACAATAAGCCGTGACACTGTTGCATTAAATTCTTAAACGCAGTCATATCTGCTTATGCACTCCACCGCACCAATGCCTAAGCAAAATCCAAAAGGCCATCAGAGAAGTCACATTTAATTACAGAGGGATTACAAATTTAACACGATGTTGGTGTATTTCCCCGATACTACATAAACAAACACTAGGGATGACAGTCAGATCCTCTAGGCTGTTTTCTTTGTCCCCGTCACTAGGCTTGCCTGCAACCGTAGCTTGTCTCTAGCATCTCAGGGCGTGCCTTTTCTGCCAAAGTCCCTGCGGATGATCATAGCATGCAGCTACACAGGCTTTATGTGTGCGTTTCGCAGTCACAAGGCGACTGTCTGTTTGGTAAACTTGAAGCAAGGAAAGTGGTGCAGGGGCTATTTGTGAGAGTGTGTGTGCACCGACTGAAGGATGTAGGGTGCACCTGTCCTTGGAGGTCAGCCACCAACGATGCATGGTGGCTTGCTCCCGACTCACACACACACACACACACCCCCTCAAGGAGGACAACAGGAGATAGCTGTCTGTCTGCATCACCGTACAGGCTGCAGACAAGGGTGGACCCCAAGCTCTGGGCATAATGTTGGTGCTATGGTACACACACAGACACACACACACACACTCACTCTAACCTATTACACAGAAGCTACAGTGACAACGTCCTGGATGTTGTTCTACAGCCTACCCTGCTAGCAACTACAGTGCCATGTTTGAAAAATGCTAGTCGTCATTTGGCACACACAAAATGTACACCTACAAGGTTTAAAAAATTCCAATATTTATGTCAGTTTCTATACAGATAGGACATGTGGCACCTGCCTACAGGCTACAGTATCTTCCAATCATACCAAATCCCATCAGATTTAAACACCATGAATATATTAAATACATACAGTTAGTTACAGCGCAAGCTCCAGATGTCAAATAGACTAGAGAATATTTGGGGAAAAAAGGTTTATCTGATTTAAAACATGAGGTGGTCGCTAGTTGGAAAATCCTGACATGATATAGAAATTTAATATTTTATTCTCTGCCCTTCGTTCACTTTGTTGCTAATACTCCCACTGACAGTGGAAGGTGTTTCTCTGTGGACACAAATATGTTGATGACAATTGCACTCGACAGTGAGCAGGGGCCCGATGAAGGAACGTTGAGAGAAATAAAGAGAGAAAAGGTTAGAGAGATGATGACACACGAGCAGAGGGAGGAAAGTCATGAACATCTTGTTTTTCCAGTGCTAAGGGAGAGCCAGACGGGCCAACGCTGCCACCACATTCTCAGTTTTCCCACTCTATGTGTGGAACTCAACTCAATCTGATAGGGCGCTCAGAGATAAACGGCTGAGGCAGGCCGTTACATGCGTGTGGCTCAGGTTTTATGGCCCCCCCATGGAGTAAGGGCTTGTGGGGGAAGGCTGGTGTACCAGTGTCAGATGGGTTTTAATGATGACAGAGGCATTTGCACAAACTCACAGAAACATGTGGGTGGGGGTAAGCAGCTACCACAAGTTTTATTCAAACACATAAATCAAGGAACATTTAAACGCAAACACACATCAAATGACTGCTTCAAGCATCTCATCACAATCGGGCAATGTGACAAGAAATAACACTGCCTCATCCTAATAAAAAAGTGTGACTCTAGAGTAAATAAAAATTATGCCAAAGTCATCTCTGTGATGGAAGCTCAATGTCAACTGTCTCTCTCTGCTCCCTGCTCTGCGCTGAGGGTTTGACATTGTTCTCGTGGATGTTGATATGCCATTAGAAAAATGCAACCTCCATTTTAAGCCACTGGAATGTAGAAACAATGGAAAGCGGGTGAGTTATCAGAAGGGTGCAGGGCCATTGAGCTTGCCAGGAACTCCACTCAGTACAGCCAGGAGTAGGATGGATACTGTGCCCTCACTGCCAAAATACACTGTTACGCTCTTCACCTGCTCTTGCTAAACTATCTAGCCTCCTCCACACCTACTTAAAAAAAAAAAGAAGCTAGTTTTCATCTTCTATATTCCTGCTGTTGCATCAACACCAACTCCACTGGCTCCCCAGACTGAGGTCTGCAGGGGGTCATGTCTGGGAATCACCATGCCTTTTTGATGAGATTTGATGAGCCTTTATGATGAGGCTTGATATCGGGAGGAAATTCATAATCTGAGTGCTGCTCAGAGAACAACCTACTGCTCAACATCAGCAAAACTATGGAGTTGATCGCTGATTTTAGGAAGGAGTTAAAGACACTCACTCCTGTCTACATCAGTGGTTCTGAGGTGGAACAGGTGAATAGTTTCAGGTTCGTGGGAATCAGCATCACAGAGAACCTGACATGGTCATCGCACATCTCCACGCGGCTGAAGAAAGCTTAGAAATGACTTGAGGAAGCCAAATTTCCACACCAAGTTCTTGTCAGCTTTTAAAGAGGAGCAATAGAAAGCATCCTGACTGGAAACATTACAAAACTAGCATGGGATGTGCATGCCCCAGGACCAGATGGCTCTGCAGAGAGTGATTTAAACTGCTCAGAGGATCATTGGTACCCATCTCCCACGCATCTGTGATATGGGTGAGGTGAGGTGCCTGCGCAGAGCCCAGAGGATACTAAAAGACAGTACCCACCCCAGCCACAGCCTGTTCACCCTGCTGCCTTCTGGGAAGAGATATAGAAGTTTCTGCTGCCACACCACCAGACTGCAGAGCAGCTTTCCCCCCCAAGCTATCAGTCTCTTAAACTCTAATTCATCCTCTGCACTGCTCCATTAATTATATTAGTTTATCCCCGTTTACCATTTTTTATAATCGATTCTATATTAATGTATATTGTCTGCCATGTAGCAGAAGGTAGTTACAAAACACAATTTCCCTCTATAACTTGCTATATTGTGACAATAAACCTACCTACCTTCCTACCATTTTTGGCTGGCTATTCAAAGCTCTGCGCCCTCAAGGAGTCCTTGAAGGAGCCCTTGGAGTTTAGCAAGTGGGGAATTTGTTGAAATTTAACAGGTTTTTAACAAAAAAAAACACAAATACAGGAAGAGTTAAATGTAAAATTGTGATGATCATGATCAACAGTATTTTCCCCATTGCTGCCTTATGCCCCCGTGACTAGAAATATAGAGCAATAGGCCATTCTGGGGTTGAACAAAATGAATGAATTTATCGACGAGCTGTTTAATCAAGCACCACTGTCAGCGCCCATCTGGTGAACAGAAAACATGCATAAACTATGTGTTGCTGCGAACTCGGAAACTCCCAGCAGTCTCTCTTTTCTCTTTGCTGCACTCTTATTTCCTCTGCTCATTTACAGCATTAGAAGATTAGGGACACTGGGAGGACCTTTGGTGGACAAACAGACATGTTTTTCAAACAAATGCAAATACAGAGAAGTGCATACACTATATACAAACATAGTTCCTGTGCAAACACAGAGAGACAGACACAAAGCCCCCTTCAGGACAAGGGCTTACTCTGACATTAAAGGGCCTTTGTTTAGCCCCAGTTATCGCTACTCCACAGGCGCATTATGTTGCAAGTATATCTACGTCTATGCCGCTGTGTGTTTATGAGCACAATGTATGGAGTGAACTTTTGCAGACACCCTCGGCACCCAGAGCTGATTGTCACATAGGTTTGTGTGCGTTTGTTTGTGTGTGTGTGTGTGTGTGTGTGTGTGTGTGTGAACTACTGAGAAACAGCAGCGGTTCCACTAACAATGCACAGAGAAGAACAATTGGGCCTTTGACGCCATTTGTATGTGGTGGTGGGGAGACAGGAAATGAGATCATGCTGAGGACTCTG